ATATATATATATATATATATATATATATATATTTAAAATCATGCGTTATAAACTTGATATTTTTAACCCAAACATTCATAATTGTTTATTTGGCCCAAAAACATTTGGATTGACCATTTTGGCCCATTTTTCTTTAAAAATGGCACTTTTAGTCCCTTTTATGAAAATTGACATTTTTGGTCCTTAAACCATTTTTCTTGACATTTTCCACCCAAACTTTATTTGAATAGCAATTTCAGTCCAAAACTATTGCATTTGTCATTTCCAGCCTTTATTTGTAAAAAGTTTACATTTTGGCCCAATTTCTGTAAGTTTTACAATTTTGACCCCAAAATCATAAACTTTGCATTTTTAGTCCAATTTGGTAATAAAATCATTTTCAAACCCCTGAAAAAGTTTATTTACGTTTTAGACTCATAGTTTGTTAAGTTTTCCATTTCAGCCCCTCAAAACTTCATTTTTTCGCAACCTTGGGCCCAAAAATTCGTGAGGCCCAATTTAAAGCCCAATAAGCTAAAATTTATGTTTTTGACCCTTTGGAAAGTATTATTTTCATAAAAATCAGCTTTTATACAAATAAATACCTTATAACCCTCATAAAACCGATAATTATCAATTTACACCCAATCTTTGTTATTTTTGCAAAAATGACACTTGTATAGTTCTTTGGCTTTGTTTTTCACTTTTTAAACTTAAGGACCATTAGATCTATGATGTATGTTGTTTATTATGTTTTTGTTTATGTTTCATGTATATTCATTGTGATGATATTTCAATTTAAGTCACGCGAGCCCTCGGGCGTTTCCGCCGTCTGGTTCGGGGGTGTGACAACAGACAACTAGCATCCTAATCATAATAAATCATGGGCCGACATTGGTGCCTTCGACCCGCCAAACACAGTGACGAGACTCACCTGAATCACAAAGTCGACCTCAACTAACTGCTCTCCTACCAAAAGACGGGTGCTTGATACCTCCTATCAATCCACACAAGGTAAATCCTAAGGTAATGTTTGTTTTTTGTTCTAAAAACCCATTTCTGACCACTTATTGTTGTGTCATATAGCACACGTGCAACACTTGGCCTTCACAACATGTTTGTTTTTCAGAAGACTTCTGACTTAAAAACTGTTGCGCATGCGTTGTGTGGCACAGTACTGGACCCTCTGCTTCAAACCTCTTCACACCTTACTTTAACTTATTGAGGCGGTCTGCAAAGGTTAAAAAACAAACAAACTTTTTATTACATCCTGCAGCCGTTTGGTCCCCCTCTTTTGCTACAGAGGGTTACGGAGGTGGTCCGTAGACTTCAGACATTTTCGCTTCGAAAAAACAAACAACGCCTAAGTCTACCTTCTAAAAATGGAATTTTGACCAAAATTCAAACCAGGCCAAAAGACAACGGTCAAAGTCAAAGTCAATAACCCATAATGTCAATTATCCATCCTCACATCGTGACCAGTCCCAAACAAAAGTTTTCATGCAACCCACCTCACGTCGTGAGCCTCTATGTCTCACGTTGTGAGGCTTCCTTTCTTCCAAAATCCAACCTTTTGACTCTTTGAAACCCTAATTCGATTCATCCTGAAAAACATGTGTTACAACTCATCCCCACTTAAATTACATTTCGTCCTCGAAATCACTCCTTACTACCTTCCTGATACGCCAGACAACCTGGGTGATACTACCACAACCTCGATACGGATTGAGAAGTCGACTCATGCATACAACAACCTTCCAAACTATAACCCAACCCAACCTTAGCAGGGCTCTCAAATCCTAACGACGAACGTGTCCTTACCCTACTAACGATAACCATTGAAGAACCACCATTACTACTTCACTCGAAATCCAAAATCCTAAAACCTTGTCTGACTTCCGGACAGACAGACCACCCTGAATCACTGCCAAATCGGCTTCACTACACAATCAAACTGAGCATAAACCCTTCCAACCCTACTTACCTTGTTGTTTCCACTGGGAAACAGGATCCCTGACCATTCATTGCCACCAAAAACCTTCACTCGATAATCAGGCAACTCCCTACATGAGTCTCCAACGTGAGTACCATCTCGGGCTCATCTTGTTGTCCCATATTTATAATTCTGGTGCAACCGGGACCTTCCTCGTCTCGTACTTACCTACCAATTAACCGATATACCAGAATTTCAACTAGTTGTTGAGGTTGATAGCCTCATCCAGTCGCACCACACGACTCCTGAACGAGTGTCTAACTGGCAAGAGTTGTCCTAGCTTGTCTGCCATAATGGCTCCAACATCCCTCCTAATCCAAACAAATTCAATATAACAAACCATTCATTACTGTTGAATCCTTCAATCGAGATCAAGGGTGACTCCCAATGCAAGTCTTAACCCCCTTGCATCATCCGGGGGACATAATTCTCGTCCCGAAATCCAAAGATTTACACCTACATTCTATCCAAAATCCACTGATTCTAGGGTGATCTTTCACTGAACTGAAATATAAAATCCTTAACCCACCGCAGAGGCTAACAGACTCACACTTGGTCCCTCCGCAAGACCCCGACTAAGTGTCCAACTAATAAGGGCTAGTTTTGCCTAACCATCACACATATACCAACCACTGACCACAGATTCATCCCACTCTAGACGTGATCCGATACCTTACCCAAGCCAATTTCCATCGGGTCTCACCCATTCTATCACAACCAAATGGGACTCGCCCGTGGGTCTCACCTAGTCTGCACAATCGAACGACCCTCGCGCACAGGTCTCACCCAATCGAGTGCTATACATACCTAAACTCGCCTCATATCCAACGATCCCCATACCAAAACAAAATAGAAGTCCTCCTATACGATTGTTCGCCTCAACCCAGGTCTACGCTGCTCCTCTTTCAGCCCAACGACCACTCTAACAATAATCTACCTCATTCTGGTGAATGTTATGACTACATCGCATACTTACATCACTTCCCCGACAACCTATCATCCTTGCGTATGCTACGGCTACCCCCGTAGTCTTACAACACTTCCTTACTGCCATGGTCCCCAACAATGGCCTTTCCGTCCATCTACTATACCAACCGTAATCATCCTAGGTCGAACCCGCATCCGACTATACCCCAATCAGGTGTTTGGCTTATGCTTCGAACACCAAAGCCTTAATCAGACAAGAATGGGCAGAGAGGCCCTAATACAACCCTTAACATGTTCCTGTCCACATACCTACCATGCATCACTATTGATGCACAGTGAAACCTGAATATCCATTCTTGTGCAACCCTTATACCAAAACGGTTCTCCCCCACTTGGATTCGACTGTGCTATTCCAATCCACAAAATTTTATGGATTCCCAATCCATCTCACAACCTTGCAATTCAAACTGTCAACAACCTGAGCTTATAAGAACTGTCATTCCATTACTAACCAATCTTAGCGACCATACACATTCCAAAACCAGATGTTCACTCTCCGCGATCTCAACGAGCTCAATAATCCCAAGTACTTCCCATAATACACCACCAAATCCTTAAGCCATTTCAGCTCATCACATAGAACTATAACCCTTGACTGGAACGGACGGGATCACCAAATCCACTATCCGCTTATCGCAAAATCGATGCACTCAATACATATCTTATCGAAGTAGATTCTCTTGACAATCTCAACACTATAACAAACTTGTGTGTTTAATTCATCACTCACACTCTGGAGTGATGGTTCTCTTCTGCTCTTGCCCTACTAACCATAGTAATTGATTCACAGTCTGTCACCACTCAGCTGACATCCCTCCGGAGCGATACAAGCGTTCCTGAATTCTGACTTCGTTGTCCCATATGGGGACAACAAGTTTCCATTAGATCTTTTCCTAAAAGCTTCTGACGTAAGTACCACACTTGTATTTCTGAAGACATGAATTTGACAGTTATTTATCTGACACTTCCGCTCTACACAATCCTTTATACCTATCAATCGTGATAGATCTTCACCTGCTCGAGTTCCAATAATATCATGAACTTACTCTGCAACTCCTTCCGACCCATGGTGTTGAAACCAACATAATCAATCCAGATGTTGATCCCTCAAGCAAAGCAACCCTTTCATTCCCACCTTGGGTAACGCTAACGATAATTGTCTCCTCTCGGTTCATCCAACTACCTTCCAACGTGATTCGCAGTATGCAATATGTCTGTAACATCCCCCTCTGACACGTATCACAATATTGTCCGCTTTGGGTTCCCGGCGCGAAAACTTCCCAGGGGCCACCCATCCCTGGACCATTTTTGCAATTTTTTCAAATTTTTATTCACATGATTTTCGGGTGTGGATTGTTCCATACCTCCTAAGGGTGTTTGATTTGGAAATTTTAATAATGCTCGTCCGATATTATTAAAACAAAGTTTAAATAACATTTGAATTATATTTGACAGCTTAGAAAACCAATAAACTGATTTTTGTTTTGTTTCGTACATTACAATTATAATGTAAAAGGACAAAATACAAATACTTATTCGAAACTTAAAACATAGCTTAAATAACGTTTGAGTTATATTAGATGTATTAAAAAAATTAAATTTTGTTTTGTTTTATATATTACACTTGTATGCATAAAATGGCCAAAAAAATATCGGTTTGTTAGTGGACTATACAAACGAATTGGAAGGAATTGAAGTGAGAAATCTCATCAATTACGAGTTTGGTTGATTGATAAGTAGAATCGATTAATAATTTTAGCATGCCTGTCAAATTCCAATTACTCTAAATCTTATTATTTCAAAAAATTATAATTTCTTATTTAATTATATTTGTAATATGTCTATGTAAAATATAAAAAAGTTCTATAATAAAAATGAGATCAGTTGGACAGTGTCGGTGAAGCATGGCCCATTGGGTTAACCCGTACCACTTGTTAGGCCCATTTGTTCTGAGCCCCATTCATCTTTTTGGGTTTCCCTCCAAATCCAATGAACTAAATTTCCAATTCACGTTGACAGTCGGTTTTCGCGTAAAAGAAGCCCTAATTTTTCCCCCTCAACGTTTCAAAAAGATGATACCAACGATTCAACTTCCGGGTACAAACGGTACGTCTTCTCCATCCCTCCAAGATCTTCCGAACCCTTTTTAGTACTGCTTTTAGTTCCTAATGAATGGTATAAGTTAGGGCTCGAATTTGATTGTGCACATGATTTCATGAACCGGCTGAAGAGAACTGATATAATATAAGATTTTCTCGATGATGTTTAAAGTTAAGATGCCTTTGGATGCAGAAAATTCAGGTCATATGATTTCTTCATGGTGATTTGGTGTTCTTTACGATTGGACTCATGTTGTTTGATGATATGTCTGAGAGAAGTTAAATTATGCCTTCTGTAACTGAGGTATAATGGTATATATCGTAAAACCAACGAAACTTGAGTATTTGATGTCACATGCTAGTTTTTAGAGGGTTACAATTCGTGTGTCTTTGAGTTTGGATAATAGTTGCAGGATGGAAACCCCAGTTTCCAAGAGGCCATTAAGAAAGAAACACCTCTCTAGAAGCTATGATGAGAATTTGATGGATGATTATTTGGATAAGCAATTAGGTAATTCCCCAAGGAAAAGGTTCAGAACAAAGAAGGAATTGGAGAAAGAAACAGAAAAAGAAGCCATGATAGCCCTTTCTTTAGGGTTTCCCATTGATGCCCTTCTTGAAGAAGAAATCAAAGCCAAAGTAGTAAGTGAGTTAGATGGAAAAGAACAAAACGACTACATCGTTGTCAGAAACCATATACTTTCAAGATGGAGAGCTAATGTACATGCATGGCTTTCCAAAGGAGAAATAAAGGAAACTGTAAGTAACGAATTCAATCACTTACTTCATTCTGCTTATGACTTTCTTCTCTTCAATGGGTATATAAATTTTGGAGTTTCACCAACTTTCAAACCTCAAATGCCCGAAGAATCAACAGAAGGATCTGTAATAATAATCGGTGCAGGACTTGCTGGATTAGCTGCAGCTCGCCAGTTGTTAGCTTTTGGTTTTAAAGTGATTGTGTTAGAGGGTAGGAACAGACCTGGGGGTAGAGTCTATACCCAGAAAATGGGTCAGGGTCAGGGGCAAAATGGTAATTATGCTGCTGTGGATCTTGGTGGAAGTGTTATCACAGGTATTCATGCAAACCCTCTTGGAGTTTTAGCTAGACAGCTTTCGATTCCTCTTCATAAAGTGAGAGATAAATGTCCTTTATATGATCCAGAAGGCAAACCTGTTGGAAAAGAAACCGATTCAAAAGTAGAATTTATTTTCAATAGACTTCTAGACAAAGTAACCGAATTCAGACAAATCATGGGTGAATCATGTGGTGACATTTCATTAGGATCAGTTCTTGAAAAACTCACAAAACTATATGCTGTAGCCACAAGTGTAGAAGAAAAACAATTACTCGATTGGCATTTTGCAAATCTAGAATACGCAAACGCGGGCCCACTTTCAGACCTTTCAGCTGCTTATTGGGATCAAGATGACCCGTATGAAATGGGTGGTGATCATTGCTTTTTAGCAGGTGGGAATTGGAGATTAATCGAAGCATTATGTGAAGGGGTTCCGATTTTTTATGAAAAGATTGTGAAAACCATTAAGTATGGTGAAAATGGAGTTGAGGTAATTACAAGTGATCAAACATTTCAAGGTGATATTGTTCTATGCACTGTTCCTCTTGGTGTTTTGAAGAAAAAGGTGATAAGTTTTGTGCCTGAATTACCTGAAAGAAAACTTGAGGCGATTGAGAGACTTGGATTTGGGTTGTTGAACAAGGTTGCTATGGTGTTTCCTTATGTTTTTTGGGGTGAAGATGTTGATACATTTGGTTGTTTGAATAGAAATAGTGAGAATCGTGGAGAGTTTTTCTTGTTTTATAGTTATCATACAGTTTCTGGGGGATCAGTTCTTGTTGCATTGGTTGCTGGTGAAGCTGCAAAATCATTTGAATCCACTCATCCTTCCACTTTGCTTCATCGTGTTTTAAATGTCCTTAAAGGTAATACTAAATATTTTATCTGTTTGGTATGATGGAATGGAATCACAAAGGAATGGAATGGAATCAACAAAGTAATGGAATGGAATGGAATCACTTTCTTTCACTAACTTTTTTTTTTTTTGATAAATTTCCACAGGAATATATGGACCAAAGGGTATTGAAGTACCTAATCCAATCCAATCCATTTGTACAAAATGGGGAAATGATCCCCTGTCATGCGGTTCATATTCTCATGTGCGGGTCCACTCTTCCGGTAGTGACTACGATATCCTGGCGGAAAACGTTGGAAACCGCCTCTTTTTCGCCGGAGAAGCCACCAACCGCCAACACCCCGCCACCATGCATGGGGCCTACTTAAGTGGTCTAAGAGAAGCTTCATGTATTTTTAGAGTCAGAAAGACTATTAATAATAATAATAATAATAATGATGATGATAATAATAACAATAACAATAACAAACAAAATAATCCCAAAAAAAGCATTCGAAAAATCATCGGAGTCAGTGATACTCTCATAAACCTTTTCAAGAATCCCGATTTATCTTTCGGGAATTTTCTCTTTGTGTTTGACCCTTCAAACGAAGACGATGACTCAACCGGGCTCATGATGGTTGCCATTGATGATGATGATGATAAAGTCAAAGTCAACAATGGTCAAAGTCAACGCCCGGTGAAGCTTTACACGATGGTGACACGTGTACAGGCGTGGGATTTGGAGGCGGTGGTTGGTGGCGGGGAAAGTGGGTTGAGTTACATGTCGGAGAATCTCGGGTTGAAGTTAATGGGAATGGACTGTTTTGCCCTTGTGGCAAATTCGTTGATTTCTATTATTGCTACACGGAGAAGTAGGGTTAGGAATCGGGTAGTGTTTGGAAACCGTGTTTCGTACACGTGATGATGACGTGGCGTGTTGGACATTGTTGTAAGCACAGATACTTGTAGGACATGAACACTTTTGCACAGTTTTGTTGAGGAAGGCATACATGTCCCCATGGATTTAGTTTTAGAATCTTTTTTGAGTTTTGTAATCACCTTGTAAAACTGTATACTAGAATCTTTTTGATTTAGTATTTGACCCGATTTTTTTTGTCTCACAAACTCTCTTGTGAGATGAAGCAATGATTGCATAATCTTTCAGCAACAAAAGTAATATCCTAAAACAACTATTTCATACATTGATTTTTGTTTGGAGATGATATGCCTAATTATACAATCACAAATTATTTTTTGCATGTTGTAGGTGTATAAAATAAATTTTACAAAACAAACATCATGTTCAAACTTTTATATAGCAGGAATACTGAGCGACCCGGTGTTAAGTATCCGTGGTAATATCTGCATCAACATCAAGAATCCATGTAAATACAACATTAAAAGTTTAGACAAAATTACAGTTTTGGTCCCTGAGTATAACTGATTTTTCTTCAATTTTGGTCCCAAAATAGTTATCTTGCTTATTTGGTTGTTATTTGAGGTTGTTGTAACGTTTTTAGTTCATGTTCCAAATAAAATGACTATTTTTAGGACCAAAATTGCAAAAGTCAGTTATACCCAAAGAAAAAAAAAGTCGTTTTACTTGGAAAAGGAGCGCAAAAAAACGTTACAAGAACCTCAAAATAAGGTCCAACGTTACAAATGAACGTTTTGTGACCAAATTTGCAAAAGTTAGTTATATCAAGGAACGAAAAATGTAATTTAATTTGTAGAACAGACCTCTCCTAGGCGCGCATTAATTTTCAACTCTGCAAAATCATCAGCTCGAGTGTTGCCTATATTTACAATTGCTGTAGCAGCACCACCCTCATGAGCTGCTCTGTAGAAATCAATTTTTACATAATCTCACAATTAAACAAAATAAATAAATAATGAAATAAACAACCTATCAAACAATAAAAAAAAAAAAAAAAGTTCCAAGATTTACACCTGACAAGTCGAAAAGCAGACATGGTCATAACCGATGAACCAAGAACAAGAAAAGCATCACACCCTTTAGCCGCCTCCATTGCCATATTAGCTCTTTCCTTTGGTACATTATCACCAAAAAATACCACCTTCAAAACACACACACATTAAAACTTTCAAAAATTTTGTGATACTGATACTGATACTGACACTGACACTGACAGTGACAATGAGACAGTTGACAGTGACAGAATTGTCTTACATCTGGTTTTAGTACCCCGTTACATTTAGAGCAAGTTGGTATGTGAAAATCTTCTTCCCAAAACTTTTCATCAATTTCAATATCACCATCGGGCCTTTGCTTCATCCCAAAACTCTTATCTGAATTACTATCATAATCCAAACTTTCTATAGCTTCCGCCCACTGTATTAACCAATTATATCTTTCTCATTTCATATATAACAACTTTTACAAAAATAAAAAAATCTATAAATTAAATGTTTTAACCTTTGGATTTAAAGACTTCAATTTCTCTTGAAACAACTCCCTTGGGAATAAGAATCCACAATCCACACATCCAACGGTGTACACAGTCCCATGTAACTCAAGCGGGGTACTACCAGCACGATGGTGCAACCTAGGACATGAAAAAAACATTTTTATTTTTATTTTTTTTATGAAAACAATTTTATAAAATAAGTTGTTTATAAAAATTTGGTACAAAAAAGATGACCTATCGACGTTTTGTGTGATCATAAAGCTAATTCGATTTGCTTTTTCTAAAGATGCTAAAGCAGTGTGAGCTGCACTTGGTTTAGCTTCATTAAACTTCCTCCATCCTGCATAGCTTCTTGCCCAATACCTCCTTCTTGCACGACTAGAACGAATAAATTGCTAAATACATAACAATATTTGGAAATATTAGAATACAAAAATAATAATATGATTAAAATTAACAAACATGAAAATGCAACCATTAAGATCACCTGATGAGTAATCGGCTTGAAACCAGTACTATAAGCTCCATTTGGGCTGTAATTACAATCTTTTAGTTTATTCATAGTATTGATAAAGTGTTGTAGACTAAATGACCGTTTTACCCTTACATTCCAAAAACAAAGTTGATAATATTCATCAACTTTAAGCTCATGAAGTCAAAATGAAAAGTACCTTCTGTAATCAGGAATGCCACACTCTGTGCTTATTCCAGCTCCAGTCAAAGCAACAAGTTTAGTACTGAAAAAAGTTGGGAGATTAAAAAAGGAAACTTTAATAAATATTAAGTTTTATGGCATCAAAATTCCACCTTTTAGCAAAAAACTCGTATAAAAGATCAACATCTTTAGTGGTTGGTGGATCTGAATCAGGTACCACTTTTCTGTCTTTTAGTAAATTTGAAGGTGGATTCACAACAGTTTCTAAAGAGGATCCAGGAACTGTGATTCTGCATACTGTTTGTATATGCTTTACAGAGCCTCGAAATGATATTGTTGTGGTTTTACTTTTACCATTAAATTTACAATATTTGCTAGCTGGATGAACAACATCTGTTTTGCTTCAAAAGGGTAAACATGGAAAACTATAATACAAATTGTTATACGGATTCAAGATTCTGATGATTTGAAAAAGCAGTTGTGACTTGTGAGTAGCTTGAATTTACTTGCCTGTCATAAAATGTGTAAGAACTTCCCTTGCATTATTGAGAGACTGCATATTTAAAAACTTGGAAAAATCAGATTAAGGATTTTCAGATTTTCAAATTATAACTTGAAATGATGACACATAAATTGTTGTTTTACTTTTATCATGTTTGTTCATTATCTTGTAAGAACATTCATAATATCAATTTTCAACCTTCTACTACTAACTTAACAAGAGTTATCTATTCATGATTCAGTTTCAACCCTACAAATGCAAATTTTTTCAATATAGATGACTCTTTCCTCAATCAAGCCTTTTTGCCCCACTTACTTACAGTTGCTAAAGGAACCCTTTTTTTTTTTTACTATAAGGATTCATTTTCCAATTCCTTTTATATAAAAACTGCATAAAAGCTATAATGGCCATTATTCTTGATTGCACTATGAAAACTGTAACACATCGATTAGTATGTATAAAGCATTCAGCTTTTTCAAATTTCTAATCAGAACTTCATAAGCACTTCCTGTCATACTAAAATTATAAAGAATTAAGAGCAAATTCAGATCACGGAACAACAGTTCAAAATCAAGCTCACACCCAAAAAGTATTAAACGAGGGTTTTTCATTGTAGAATTCAAACGAAGGTCAAAATGAAATTGAATCATAGAAAAAGAGAAGGAGATTGAGAATTGATTACAAAAAATAGAGATTGGGAAGAAACACGCATCGCCATGGCCATGGAGCTGTTGAGTCCGTTAAAAACAGAAGAACAAAATGGCGCATTGTGGTCATCGATGACATTTTAGTGTGGTTAGGTCGGGTTACAATGATATTTCCACGTCGCTTATCTTTGCACCATTTATTAAAATTAAATTTCACGTTTACACCGTATGTTCTTTAAAAAAAAAGAAGGTGAAATTAATTATTTCGTTTACAATGTGTATTTATTAGTTTGGGTATTATAAAAAAAAAATTATGTGTTAAGGTAAAATTAGATAGATATTTCTATTATTGTAAATTTAATAAACAATTTCCTCAAATTTTCATTTTGTCTCTCTTAAATTTAAGTTGAAGGAAAGATGTATAATGAGATTATTTGGTTGGGTAAAATGAAATATCAAGAAAATAGAATGTCTGAGGTAATAGAATTTGATGTCTTAGACGATTTAATTGAATGATTGATTACAACTAACACGAACATAAAACACATAAAAGATAACTCCAAATGGAGTTTTAACTGATAATCGAAAATTCTCTCAAACAAAGAAAACAAAATACACGTAAGGAGAAGAAGATAAGCTCATCCCTTAATTATAGGAGAATGTAATTGATTATGATAACATTCCTAATATATCCAAATCAAATCTCAGAAATACAATTTCTGAAAATATAAAGTATAAAAACGTTATTTTAGGTCCTGAAACAGTTCTGAATGGTCGAAAAAAATTATACGTCATGGCGATGCTATGAGTTTTGTTAATCAGACCGTTTTCGCATAACTTGTGCTACTAATTCCGAGATGGTCGCATCACTTTGGTATGTTTGATCATCACACTTCTATTTCTACTAATGTTGACATCACCAAAGTCATGCATTAAAATGGAATTGATCGACCATAATTGTTATGGCCATGTTTGTTTTTTGTTTGGAGTTTAAAATAAAATATGTGAAATAGCAGTGTGTGGTTTTATCTTGATTACAAATTTTCATCTCTTTGCTAACCTGATTTGTTCTGTAAACCTAGTGGGGCACCTCATTGAGTCATTTGTAGGTGTGGCTTTGTTGGTCGTATTATGATTTATTCTTGTTTAAGTTCTATTGTTTGCAGTGACTTATTTTCCATGTTAACCTTATATACAATCACTTCTACATAACGAACGTCATCTATGTAATTTCCTCTTGTTTATCTCGTTTACAACATCAGTTTCCAATAGAATTTTTGGGATCTATTGTTGATGTCGTCATCATTGATGATGATGTGGAATGTTAGCTTATAGCCATTTAACATTTGATGTTCGGGCTAAAGTACATTGCTATGACTCGCCAATAACCATATTTCAAAGGATAAACCTATAAAACGAATACGAGTTTGTTACTCTATAAGTATCTGAGTATCTGATAATCAACACTTTGGGTTGCGAAAGGTTCTAGTCGGGAGAAAAGATGGCGGCGGTCTTATCCTTCGCCACACCCGCTTCCAATTTCAGAGTGATTTCGAACTCAAGTAGAACAGCAGCTCCATTACAGTCAAGGTCTCGAATCTCCATGGTTAATCACCATCAACATTCTGCTCCTTTATTTGTTCCGGAGGTTCGTCTTCCTTTATTACGAATTTTATAACCTTTTAATTGAAGCTGATTAACCCTCGACACCTAATGCTCTCTGTTGCGTTGTTGCTTCTGCTCCCCTATTCCTGAAACCTCCCCCTGCTTTTATCTCAAATTCGGCACTTTTTTCGAAACATAAATTTGATTTGGAGTTGGAAATCAACAGAATTTGAAACTCATTTTCTCACCAAATATTTACGAAATTGCATCCAGAGATATTATAGAAAAAGGAACGAGTTACTTTGGGTGAAATTTGTTGGAGATTAGGTTTTAAACAACACGCGATTGATTAAGAATGAAGTGTAGCATCAGAGTATAACAAAATTTCACAATTTTCTCTGTTTGTTTCCCAATTTAGGTTGAAAGTGCAGTTGATACCTTGTATCCGGAGTTTAGGGCGGTGGATAATCTTGTGGCACAGAATAGCTCTAGAGTTCTTAAAGCTTTTCAGAACGCAAGGGTCGGATCTCATGTATGGTTAATCATCTACACTTTAAACCATCGATAATACAAATTGTCAATTGCTTCATCATCAATTCCTTAACTTATGTCTAGCTTCCTAAAACATTCTTCCCATTATATCAATGTAGCACTTCAGCGGTTGCACTGGATATGGCCATGAAGAAGCAGGTGGCAGAGAAGCCCTAGACCAAGCTTTTGCAGAAATTTTTGGTGCTGAATCAGCAATTGTTCGTTCACAGGTTTACTATTTTTAATCATTCATCTATTTTTCCACCATTTTTATACATTCTCAATTGACTTAACACACTTCGGTTCAGTTCTTCTCAGGCACTCATGCCATTACATGTGCCCTGTTTGCTTTCTTGAGGCCTGGTGATGAGGTACTTAATCTACTCATTCAGAACGCATAAAACTTATTCATTAATTTTTATCAGCTTTTGGCAGTTGCTGGTGCTCCTTATGATACACTAGAAGAAGTCATTGGAATCAGAGATGGAAATGGATTAGGCTCATTGAAAGATTTTGGCATCAGTTATCGAGAAGTTGCAGTAAGTTTCTCCTCACCTTTTCTTCAACCCTAAACCCTAAACCCTAAACCCTGTGTTGCAAGTTGTTATGCATGCCTTGTTTCAGCTTGCAGATGATGGAGGCCTTGATTGGGATGCTCTTGAAGTGGCTTTAAAACCTCAAACAAAATGTGCCTTAATACAAAGATCATGTGGGTATTCTTGGCGTAAAAGTTTAAGTGTAGATGAAATATCAAGGGCAATACACATGATTAAGGTGACTTTCAAAGTTTTTATTGTTCTTTTCTTTAGGATTTGTTTGCTTTGATGAAATGCAATGATGAAGTAATAGAATGGTTAAGGTGATGAAATAAGCAAGGGAATGGAATTAGTCATTACATTCCATGATCATGTTTGGTTGGTTTTGAGAATGCAAGGAGTTGATGCAGTTAAAAATATAAAAAAGACAATAGAAAAGATATTAGTAAGGGTAAATGGTCTTTATGCTTAGTTTCTTACTTAATGGCATCCAATGAGGGATGAAAAGAGTAACAAAAACATCGTTGAGTGATGAAAAAGGTTAAAAAAGTCTCACAAGGGACCAAATCCGTGATTTCTAACTATTCATAAAAGCTCGTTAAAAAGGTTAATTTACTCTAGAATCTATTATTTACAAAACTAAAGATAAAAGCTCATTAAAACTCAAATAAAGTTATAACAAAAAATATTTTCTGCTTTGTTTACAAAACAAATCCATCTATTAATTAGAATCATGAAATTCTTAAAAATGATTTGTGTCGTTAAAATATTTAGAGTAAAATATAATTTTGGTCCTTGAGTTTGTTCAGAAACTATAGTTTTGGTCACAAATAGTTTCCTCTTGCAAATTGGTGCCAATTTAATGATTTTGATCCCTGAGTTTGTTCAAAAATCGTATTTTTAATAGTTTCCTCTTGCAATGTTGGTATCTATAGGGACCAAAATCGCTACAACAACTGAAAAATAGACACCAAAATTGCAAGAAAAAACTGTTTGGAACCAAAAGTGAAAATTTTAAACAAACTCCGGGACCAAAACTGTATTTTACTCAAAAGATTATAAATTAAAATGGGTTATATTACAATTTTCATTCCATTCCCAATCTAATGAATGAAAATAAACATAATGGAAGAAATCATATTCCTTTAGGAATGATCCATTCCATTCCATTAGGCAAAACAAACAGTTTTCTAAGAATTCCATTCTTTCTCCTGACAAAAGTATATTATACTAGACGAATTCCCGCGCGTTGCGCAGCGAAAATTAAAAATATATTGTTAAAATATTGAAAAATATATGTTTAAAATGATTATGTTATTTACATTAACTTTGAGATAATATTTTTACACTAATTTATATATATATATATATATATATATATATATATATATATATATAATCTCAATTATTTTGAACAATAATATTCATTAACATTAACCCACATTCATCATTAATAGAATTAAATATAATTTTCTATTTAGTATTATTTTTAACAATTATTATTATTGATTAATTATATTTTTATTTATGCGATCATTTTCTAATTTCAATAATGATGTTCATTTAAAATACAATTTATTTATAGTTAAATGTAATTTATAATTTGATGTTATTATCATTTAAAATTATTATTCATTAATTTTAAACCACTTATTATTAATAATAAGTTAAAAAAGACTTTTAAGAAACACTTAATATTATTATTAAAATGTGAAACATACACTAAATAATAAAGTGATGAGATAGACAATTTGCATTTCAAAAGAGACTTGCATGGATAATATGACATATTCATGTAATTTGATTTTATTATTTATAATTATTGATTATTAATTTTAAAACCACTTGTTATTATTAATAAGTGAAAGAAACTTTTAAAAAGCGCTTATTATTATAATTAAAATGTTAAACATATACTAAAATATAAAGTGATAAGATAGACAATTTGCATTTTAAAAAATGCTTACATGGATAATATGGATAATATGACATATCCATGATTTTTAATTAATTATTGTTTTGAAGCAACATGAACATACAAACATGTATACAATAGTTAATTAAATATTATATACATCACTTTCAATAACATATGATCGATAACATTAATCTAATCTAATTTATATTAAAATTTCAGCCACAATATACAATGATATTCTTAAAAGAATACTTAAATCAAGAAAATACAAAAAAGAATTAGTATATAACAAACTTACAAATTAAAAACTTCAACATAATAACATGGCTCGGAAAATTGTTCAAAGCCCTCAAACCAACACAAAAAACTTTAAACTTGTTTTCTTTGTGAATTTTGTATGTGATTTGTATTTGTGTGTCTACTCAAAAAGATTGACCTTTTTATAGTAGAGTATCCATTAAATGTTTATTTAATATATTATATAAGTTATAAAACCTTTGAATTGTTAATCATTATTAAGAGACTTTTGAGTGTTATTCATTAAAATAGGAGGTTTCAAATGCATGAGGTGTTTGCAAATTTTTATGGGGGTTTCAAATGCATGAGGTTCAAGGAAAAATGCTAGCTTTATAAGTATGTATGATTATTTCAGGCACAAAATCCGGATTGTTTGGTTATGGTGGATAACTGCTATGGTGAATTCACAGAAACCATTGAACCTCCTATGGTGGTATGTGTATGTCATCCATCTTTTTTATTTGTTTATTTAATTTTTTACAAAACCAATTAATTATGGTGTAAACAGGGTGCAGATCTTATTGCAGGAAGTTTAATAAAAAATCCAGGTGGCACACTTGCGCCATGTGGCGGATACGTTGCAGGAAAAGAAAAATGGGTAAAAGCAGCTGCAGCTCGTCTCTCTGCACCTGGTCTTGGGGTTGACTGTGGGTCAACTCCTGGTGACATCATGCGAACTTTTTTTCAAGGATTATATCTCTCACCTCAAATGGTTGGTGAATCCATAAAGGTATTTAGATTTATTTTGGAGCTTTAAATTCTTAGTATAGTTTAGTAACATAATTTTTTTAAAGATATATTAAACTTGTCTTGTTTAAATTCTACTACTAATACTACTAGGGAGGGTTACTTATAGCGGAAGTTATGTCCAACAAAGGTTACAAGGTCCAGCCATTACCACGAGTGCCACGTCACGACATAGTACAGGTTTGTTACACGCATTCTATTATTTATAAATAAAAGTTTGTTCATTTTATTATATTTGTTAAATAATAATAATAATAAAATTTGGATTTTACTTTATTTTTGTGTAGGCTGTACAACTTGGAAGCCGTGAGAGGCTTCTTGCTTTTTGTGAAGCAGTGCAAAGAAGCTCGCCTGTGAGCTCTTATACGAAGCCGATTGCGGGTGTGACAGCTGGCTATGCGTCAGAGGTGATTTTTGCTGACGGGACTTTTATTGATGGGAGTACGAGTGAGCTTTCGTGTGATGGACCGTTAAGAGAGCCGTTTTGTGTGTTTTGTCAGGTTCTTTTTTTTTTCTTATTTTTTTATATTATATTTAGAAATTGGAAAAGTAAATGGATTTTTTTTTTATATATCAGGGTGGTACTCATTGGACTCAATGGGGACTTGTTCTTGGTGAAGTTTTGAAATCATTGTAGCTAGAAGAGATATGAAGATATGTTTTTGATTAGTAAGGTTTGTATAAGTTTAGTGTAAATGATGTTTACAAGTACTTGGATTTATTTTTGTATACTTTTGGTTCGGTTTGGTTTAGATTTAGGCCCCGTTTGATAGTTGCTGACTGGAAAAGATCTGTCTGGGTAAGAAATCATGATTGAGTAAGAAATTATGTTGTTTGATTGTTAATCTGACTGCATATGCTTACCGATGAAAATAATCATTTTACCCTTTCAACAATAATAAGCAAAGGGATGAATTCATCAAGAACATAATCAGCAAAATCAATAAACATATAAATTTATCAACATCATTAGCAAATGATCATATGAACAGCAAACATGAACTGAACAACAACCAAATCAATTGCAAATTCTGAACATTTATCAATCTCAACAACAAAAGTCAAAAGTTCAACAGGAAAAAAAAACTTTCAACAGCAACGAACAATCAAAATTCTAATAGGAAAAAACTTTCAACAACAATAGAACCTCATAAAACCTCACTTTTGCAGCCATATTTCAATCATCAACAATTTTTCACCCTAGATTACAATTTTGTTCATGATTTCCAAAAAGGGCAATATTGTCAATATCCATCACCATTGAATTCCAGACAACTCCAGGGAAGCATTGTACATAGCAATACATTTTGTAATGAAATCCTTGAATTCAATTTAATGTTTGAATACCAATCTTCCAATCTTCAATCCACTTTCATAAGTCCCCATGACACAACTCCCGCCAACTGTTATGACTGCAACCACCAAAACACACGCACATAACAAACACCAACCATTGACCCTTCTACAGTTGCAACTATGTCATAAATCGATGCAGAAATCGGGAATAATGGATGAAATCGATGCAGAAATCGGGAATAACGGATGAAATAGATGCAGAAATCGAGACAACAACAATCGTTCATGGTAGAAATCGGAACTATTATCAGATGAGGAGGGAGAAATCGATGCTTACCTGATGAGACGAGGAGGAACTTCGATCGGTGCTTGCTGGAGGATTCTTGCTAGTTGCGAGAGAAAGGAGGCGCTGTGTTAGGACAAGGGTAACGGGATGGAAACGTTTCTTGCTTTCCTCAGTCAGCTGGTATTGAATCCCTTTCCCGGTCAGATGCTTATTTCCGAGTCAGATGGGTCAAGTTCTTATATCAAACAACTATTACTGACCGAGTCATCCCAATAGGTCTGACCCAACTCGGTCAGATGAAAAACAAAAGGGCCTTACTTGGACACGTCAATGTTATGTTAAAAAAAGATGAGGTTAAATTTCAGATTAAAAGGGTAAAATAGTCATTAAACAAAAAAGGAATGTTGCTTGTCCCATATACCAAAACCATTATCCGAATAGTAATACAAATTAAAAGGTATAAATTGTGTAGTCAACCCATTTGAGCTAACAAAAAGTTCTTATAAGCTTTCATTTTGAGCGTATTTAACAAAACTAGTTGGAAGCCGTAACTTTAATTTAGAGCGATCGGTATGGGCTAAAACGAGAAACGACGAGGGTGACGTGGCCGTTCTCGACGCCGTCGTAACGGCCGCCCCCCCCCCCCCCCAACTTGTTGCATCTCGTCGTCCGCTTCTCGTTGCCATGGAAACAAAGTGTAACGCCAAAAAAAATATCCGTTGTGACTTTAGACCGTTTGAAAACGGCCAAATTCAAACAAATTTTTTTTTACCTTTTTACCTATATATATATATATATATATAATATATATATATATATATATATATATATATATATATATATATTCATTTTATTTCAAATTTTTTTAAACCTTTCTCTCATTCTCTCTATATCTTATACACATATTTTCTTAAAATTTCAAAAAACGGAGCAAAACCCAAACACCCCCCCTCCATCATCAAACCCAAACACAACCTCGCCTCTCGGATTTGCGGGGTATGAAATTTATTTCAACCTTTTATCGTCTCAAGGTTCACCACAAATCCCATACCAAGGCGCCGCTTTCAATACCGCTTCACCGCCACTGCAATTTCCCAACTCACCTTACCTTCAACAAAATCAATTTGGTCAAAACCCAAATTTACAACAAAATCTTTTCTCTACTTTTGGTTCGATGCAACAAACAACCAACCAACCATCGCCTACAACACAACCATCAGTTCAAGTGGAAGCGGGATGTAGTAAGAAAGGGAAAGGGAAATGAAAATCGAAAGGGAAATCAATAGCAGTAGAAATAGAAAATGCAGACGTTCCACAGTGGTGGACACCGGAGGAGGAATACGCTTTGACGGCAGCTTGGTGTGCTACTTCAAAAAACGAACTTCGCGGAAATGGAATGAAAAAAGGAGCTTATTGGGGGGCGGTGCTTGACAAGTTTCACGCTATTTTAAAGAAAAATCCGTATCGCAACAATGATATGTTGAGCAGCAAATGGAGTATGATAACTAAGCGGTGCAGCAAATTTAACGGTATTTACAACCGGCTTGAGGCGCAACAACAAAGCGGAACCAACGACTTCGATTTGTTCAAATCTGCTAAGGAACAATATCGGGTTGAAATGGGTCATGTTTTCGACTTTGAAAAATCATGAGAATTGTTGCGAGCGGATCCAAAGTGGAATAAAACACCTACATCGTCGGAGGTTCAATCCAAAAGGTCTCGCAATTCTAGCTCGGTCGACGTGTCAGACGCACGGACTAACATCGACCTAAACGCCGACGACGATGAGATCCCGAATGATATCCAAGAGATATCCCCACCACGACGACCGTTCGGACGCGACAAAGCGATGCGCGCTGCAAGACATGCAGAGGAGGTGGAGACGAGAGCAAAAGAGGCGGCGGAAATGAGAGCGAAATTCGACGAGCACAATTTATTAATAAAAGAAAAAAATGAGTTGAAACGTCGTCATTTAGAGTTCCTGGAAAGGCAGGCACAGGAGAAGCAGGAGCAAAAAGAGAGGGAACTAATGACACATCAGTTGTCAATTCTTCGGGACGAGCGAGGAGGGTTTGACGCCTGCTGATCTAGCGGTGCTACAAGCGATGAAAGAACAAATTAGGAAGAAATATTTGGGTTAATTAGGATTGTTATGTGGTTTCAGTAGTAATTTGAATGATATTTTGTTATAATATTAGGTTTAAAATTATGTTTTTTTTTAAATTTTAATCGTAATTTTAGATTTTAAATATTATGCCTTTTTTTGTTTTTAAAATTTTATGTTTTATAAAAAAATATATTCATATTAGTGATTAAAAAAATACAAAAAGGAAAAAAAACGAAAAAGTAAAAAAAAGTAAAAAAAACGAAAAAGAAAAAAAAACAATTTCGAAAAAATAAAAATAAAAAATAAAACATATTTATTTTCAAAAAGTTGGTGTTGCATCTTGTTGCCCATTTCCCCACTTGGTGTTATGACACCACTTGTTTATGTGGCATATGAGGTGGCACAACTTGGTGTTGCACCTTATTGCCCACACCTAATACTCTTAAATACGAGTGTTTGACAAAAAATAACCGAAAGCTTTTAAACATGTAAAATTAAAAAAGACTTATTTAAAACACATCATTGATTTTAAATATTGATAATTAAGTCCATTTGTAAAATTATAAAATAGCTTTTTGCTAACCGTTATTTGAAATAATTTTTTTTGATTTGTAGCTTTTTGTTTTAGCCAAAAATAAAAAGCTACTAATGTCGAACTTTTTTTTTTTTTTTTTTTTTTTGTAGTTTTTTCTTTAAAGCTAAATGTTAAAAGCTCTTAAAATGTTGCATGGGAAAATTTATCTAACCTTCAGTCAACTGTCCTAGCTTAACCTAAAGTATTTAGGAAGTATTGTTATAATAATCATTTAGATCTTCAAATCTCACACGATTGGGCTCTATTCTTCAATCAACATAAATTAGTATAGTTTAAACAAAAATTTTAACTTTTGGGATGGGGAGAATTGTCGACATATTTATATCCCACATCGAGATCTGCGCTTTCTTCCATCAATCAATGATCCCCATGTATATATGGCCCACATATCATGTCTCACGTTTGTGTTTCCTCGACCTCGTGGGTCAATTTAAGAATACGTTATTGATTTTCCCACCTAATACGCTCATCGCACAACATTAACACTTTCTACCAATTTTTGTACGCATCTTACTCCTTCAATCGATCATCGTCTACCTACTCTCTTCGAGTTTTCTTCTTCGTTTTCTTGGTTGTTAACTCGGATTCACCTTACAGGTACCCATTAATTTTTGTATTTGGCAGTTTTTTTTTATTAATTACAGATTAAGCACCTGGTTGTTTTCGATCGATCTTGATTCTCGAGTTTTTGTTAGGTATTTACTCGATTTGCTGTTTGAAACCGCTTCATTCTGTCTGATATATGTCTAGTCAACTCTATTCAACTTCTAGGTTATCTTACATAGCATTCATCGCGATAATCGGATCATTCAGTCGTATTTTGGTCAACACAAAAAGTCAAAATTTTCATTCTGTTAGTTTGATTCACTGAAACAAACATCTTTACGCAGGCGTTCTCCCATTGAAGAACGTTAAGATGACTCGTAAACAGGAGACGTTGATAGGTTCTGGAGCTTGTGTAGCACTTACAGTCCTTTTAGCATTGAAATTAGTTCGCGATCATCTTTCTCATTGGAAAAAACCCAAGGAACAAAAGGCGATCATAGTGATCATCCTCATGGCACCAATCTATGCCGTTGACTCATATGTCGGATTGCTTGATATTCGTGGTAGCGAGACCTTTTTTGTGCTCCTGGACTCCATCAAAGAATGCTACGAGGCTCTGGTAAGATCAAACCCTTAATTACTCCATTTTGTTGATATTAATTGTTTTAAAAAGACTAATTTTATCGTTTATCAAATTCAGGTAATGGCCAAGTTCTTGGCTTTGCTTTACACTTATTTGAATATATCTATAAGCAAGAACATAGTCCCTGATGAAATCAAAGGAAGAGAAATTCATCACTCATTCCCAATGACTCTATTCCAAGTAATTTCGGTTTTTATATTCATTTTTTAACACAATGAACAATGTTTAGTTTGAAATATACTGACATATCTAATGATTAAATGCAGCCTCATTCTGTTCGTTTAAACCATCAAAACTTGAAGCTTTTGAAATACTGGACGTGGCAGTTTGTAGTGATTCGCCCTGTGTGTTCTGTTTTAATGATAGTCTTACAGCTTCTTGAGATCTATCCTGATTGGCTGAGCTGGACATTTACTATGATCTTGAATGTTTCTGTTTCATTGGCGTTATATGCCCTTGTGATTTTCTACCATGTTTTTGCTAAAGAATTGGCACCACATAAACCTCTTGCTAAGTTCTTGTGTGTCAAAGGAATCGTCTTCTTCTGTTTTTGGCAGGTATACATACTTGTCACCTGGGCCCCATTTGACAAGACAGGACTTTCGAAATTTGATTTTTCTTTTTTGAAATTAAAATAAATGTTGGGGTTTATTGTATGATGATTATTTGCAGGGGATTGTACTTAGTGGTCTTGTGGCAATGGGGATAATTAAATCGAATCATTTTTGGCTTGATGTGTCGCATATCCAACAAGCTTTGCAAAATGCATTGGTGATTGTGGAGATGGTCTTTTTTGCAATGTTTCAAATGTATGCATACACTGCTGCACCATACAAGGCTGCTGACATTAAAGAAAAGAAGAAAGAGTGATGGTAAAAATATTCGATTTTTGGGTATTATATATAAAGGTACCATTTTTATGTTTATGTCTTGAGCTTACGAGGATATGTAGAATAATTATTAATTATTAATTCCCTTATATAGGGATTGTAGATATTGGATGGGGCAGAGTGCTTCATGCTATATATTGTTCTAATGATATTTGATTACACTAACTTATATGGGGGCAGAGTGGGCAATTCATGTAATAGAATACGAATTTGGATATGGCCCTTGATATTTTTTTTAAACACAATCGCCAAATACACGAAACACAATTTTCAATAACAAAATGAACATAAAAAACAAATTTAAACCAAATTGTACTAAAGTGTTGTATAGACATAACTAACTACACTAAAAATATCTTATAATTTAGGGTTTTATCGGTCTTTTTACTCCAAAAACATTTTTAAAGCCATTTTAGCAGATTTATCAGTAGTTTGAGACAAATTTTTGTTTTCCAAAAAGACCTTCAATTCTTTTAATAAAAATCAAATTTGATAGATTTTTTTGTTCAAACAACCTTTTTCGCTATAGCTTATACTTCAAATGTTTGTATTGATCTTGTTGTTTGTTGTTGATGGTTTTTAACATTAAAATTTGAAGGAAACCTTATATTGTTTTCCGAACAAAGAAAATGGATTCTATATCCAAATTTTATTGGCAAAATGCATGTTAAAATCTATTTACATGATAGTCAGAGATTGTAATAGGTGAATAACAATAACAATTGTCTAATATGGTTTGACCGCGTACATGCAAAACGTTCTGTTAGCAAATGCAAAGTCTACAGTCTCCAAATTAGTAAACGTAGCAGAAGCATCGGTCTCCAAATTAACAAACACAAAGCCTTTGGTCTCCAAATTAGTAGACGCGTAACCTTCAGTTAACATTTAACAAACACAAAAACATCAATATCCAAATTAGCAGACACAGAACCTCAATCACCAAATTAGCATATATAGAATTAGATGTGATACAATTCATCCAAGTTGGCAGTCACAAACACTCAAACTCCAAATTAGTACTCACATATACAATTGAGCCTCCATCGATGATAACTACTCCCAGTCTCTGGTCAATCCATAATGATTCTACTATGGTGCCATAAGTTCGCAAGTTAATCCTAAGTAGCCGTTGTTGTTCATTCCAACATAAGAATGGGTAGCAACGACAAGAATGTAAGAATTGCAAGCTAAAACAAATTTTTTTTTTGTCAAATATAATTTTTTTTATCAAACAACGGAAAGATTATCATAAATCTGCTAAAATGAAAAAAGCAAAATAAATAAATATAATGATTTAAAAAAAAGAAACCTCAAAATACAAGATATTTTATATAATTAACCTTCAAACATGTTTTAGATATGGGAGCCGATTCGTATACATATTTTTTTATTTATATATAATTTGTGTTTTAAATGTTATATTTTTTTATTTTATATATGGGAGCCGATTCGCCTGCAGTGACTTCAGGGCATGAGGCAAAGCCTCATGTTTACAGCGGGGATTAGTCGGTGCGCGAAAGCTGGCCGGAAACCATCGTAAGGGAAGTTCCCTTTCCAACAAAAAAAAAAACAACAGAAAGACTATCATAAATCTGCTAAAATGAACAAAACAAAATAAATATAATGATTAAAAAAAGAAACCTCAAAATACAAGATATTTTACATAATTAACCTTCAAACATGTTTTAGATATGAGATATAATTAAGTTTTAAAATGTTATATTGTCCAACTTGATGAATATTATTATGTAAACAAAAGTAGTTATAGTTGGGCAAACCGTCGAAGTGAATGGTTCTAACTGTAACAGTCGACATAAGGCTAAAAAGATAGAGATGAACGCAGAACGTAAAAATAGAGAAATAAGAAAGGCAGAGAAAAGTATTTCTTTTCTTTTTAGGGAATTTTCAACGAGAATAGATCCCTTATTTTTCATTATCCTCTACATCCTTTTTGTTTTTCTTCAAGAAACTATGAATCTTTTCCAATTCTCATAAACCCTACTCATATTCGCCATGATGACGACAATATTCCCACAAATTTTCGCCACTTTCACAGATTACAAACTCCCAAGACAAGCTTTTTACACTACAAAATCACGACAATCCACCAACCCTTTTACAAGGAGATACGTTTGTTGTTTTCATCATCAAAATTCTAGATTGGGTTTTGAATCCAGAGTTAAATTGTCACTGAGTAAACATCAGTTCGATGAGAATCTAACCAAGAAGAAGAGGGTCGTTCTTGTTAGGTCTAATAATCTTAAATTCAATAGCTCCGGCGGCGGCGGTGGTGGCGGAAGAGACGACGGCAGCACAGCAAGGGTTTTGGGGAATCTTGCTTTGGCTATCGGCTTGACTTATCTTTCTTTTACTGGACAGCTTGGTTGGGTACTTGACGCCATTGTTTCCGTTTGGGTATTAATCTCCCTTCCTCTGTTTTAGCATTATTCCCAAAGTTAGATCCAATTGTTCAATTAGTAACATTTCATGCTTAATTGTGTTCTAATCAAACGAATTTACTGTATTTTAATGGCAGCTTCTTGTGATTCTTGTCCCAATTGTGGGTTTAGGAGTTCTTATTTGGTGGGCAGGAAAAGACATGGTTCAAAGCAATGTAATTTCGATCTTTGACAACACTATCATATTTACAAAATTCCATTATTTAGATTAATAAATGGTGTATTCTAAGCAATTGATTTGTGTCTTTTTTATACAGTGCCCCAATTGTGGAAATGAATTTCAGGTTTTTGAGTAAGAAACTCAATTCGATTCTTATGCTTCTAAAATGTTTATGAAATATTTGGTATTTACATTTTTTTTGTTGTTGTAGATCTACGTTAACTGAGGAGTCACAGGTGTGTCCCTATTGTAGTCAACCTTTTTCAGGTAAAATTATGTAATCTTTTAGGGTATTTTTGTAAATGTGATAATTTCTTATAACTGAATATTTGTGTGTATATATTTTGGATTTCAGTGGTGGGTAATGAGTTTGTAAGAAATCCTGTGAAATACCCGAATGAATCTACATCATTTGGTGAAGCTTTTAGCGACTTTTCTTCTCGTTCAAAGAAAGGTACATTTTGTTAAGCTGTTCTTTCTGTATTATGTCAGATAGAAATGCTCATATATTGCTTACTAGGTTTGTTTCTTTTCTAGATTGAATAAACCGTTTGAAAGAGACTAAATGACCATTTTACCCTTATATTCCAACACCCAATTTTCACAATGTTCATAATTTTTAAAACGAGGGGAGTTGGATGGAAAAAAGAAAGAAAGAAAGGGAAATAGGAATTTGGTTGGTGTCATTTTTTTCTAGATTAAGTGCTTAAACCCTTAAGACCATTAAGTAAAAAAAAACACCTCCTAAAGAAGGGCAAATAGGTAAAATGTTACTGTTTTAATATGTTACATGGGTGGATGGTTTGTGCAGGGAAGGCTTCATCTAGACCTGTTATTGATATTGAAGCTGAGGTGAAGGATATTGATTGAGGTGTCAAACTATTCTTACTCCTTGCCTATTGTTGTAATGAATATAGATAGAATCAAAATTCAGAAATTGTCTATTCATAAGATTTTGATGTACAGAAGAATTATACTCCATGATTTGTAGCAAAATAATGTGAGATTATTTGTATACTTTAAGTAGTTCCCATAAGTTTAACATTTGTATAACATTGTGCAAGTTTTTAATGTATAAAAATCATAAAGGCTTGGACAATATTTTCAAATTTTCAAATTCAATCTCAGAAAATGCAGAAATAAAGATAAAAGTAAATTGATGTCATCATTTTTATTATTTAATAATAGTATATATTGTTGACTATTCTTAATGTTCTTATGCTCAAACATATATTCTACCATTTGTGATTTTATTGTAGTTAAATAAAAAATCTTAATATTGTTTCCACTTGTAAATCGAATTAATAGCTAAATTTTGTTTACTTGTAAATCAAATTCCCTCAACCATTAGCTTTAAAGTTTTATTATAAACAATTATTGTTAGAAAGAGTGGTGCTTGATGTATGAATATTGACGTAAAATCCTTTGCATTAAAAAAAAACAGTTGAACCCTGACATTTAATTTGTTGCATTAAAATTGAAAATTTGCTCAGTTTTAATTTTTTTATACTTTTGTCTTTGTTACATGGTACCAGTAGAACTTGATCAACTTGGGCGAGTACTTAAACTCTCTTACTAAGGTGAGTTAAGCAAACTTGACCAAATAACTCAGAATACGGTCACCCTTGGTCAAAATCGGTCAAATTCGGATCAACTCGTACAAATTCGGCCAACTCGGTCAAACTTGGAACTTGGATATTGTTTGATAGTTAATCAGACCCGAGTCTGAAGTCTGACTGAAACCATGTAGTTTGATTATACGTCTGATTGACTGTGTTGAATGATGAAAATGACCATTTTACACTTCTGTTATGTTTTGTGTTTAATAAAATGTATCTGTTTGATAAAACATATGAATATATTTGTTGAAAGTTATAAAAATACAAAATGTCATACACAATCTAAATTAAACATAAATCATTTCAAACTGAAAAGAAAAAGAAAAAACAATTACAAATACATAATCCAAAACTATTCTAAGAAAAAAAATTCACCAATATTTAACAAAAATTTCAGCTTCAAACAAGATGGAGCTGTAGTTAAAGATGAATTGGTATCCATCAAGAAATTAAGCTCTCAAATACTTTTTTTTTGAACGGTAAATCCCTATCTTAATAAAAGAATCCATTTGCTGACATGTCACTCTCACATTTCTTTTTTTTTATCTAACTAAAATTCCTTTTTTGCCCTTTCTATCGTTAAGTATATAAATATGTTTATGTTACTATTAATTCCATTTAACTAATATACCGATTTCAATTTGTAACAAACTTGCTATCTATTGTAATTGACTCTATTTGCTATTATATCTAACGAATTTAATAACAATCCCATTAAAATAGGACTTATTGATAAGTTGAAAAGGTAACCATATATCCATTCCTAATTTATCCCTACCGCCAAATTCGAAAACTCAATTATACTGTTTCTTACATATAATACCAATTTCGAAATTAATATCAATCCTATAAAAGTAGGACTTATTGATACGTTTAAAAAGTAATCATATTTTCATTCCTAGTTTATTCCTACTAATCAGCCAAATTCTAAATTGGTTAGTTTAATATATGTGTTTTATTCTCTATCTGTGCATATCAAACATAATATGTTTATTTGTTCCCCTATAAAAACATTTTACTTTGATTTATAGTTTTCCTCTTACTCTCTAATGTATCTGTCAATGTTTTATTTTTATTTCTTTATTTATTTTTTACATTAAAAACTAAGGTTATCTGATTTGTCTGCGATTATGATCAAAAGTGTAATTACTTTACCTTCCTCAGTTCCTTGCATAGTGAATATTAAAACATTCATATGAAATAAATTTTAAAATTATGACTAAGTCTTTGTATGTATAAGTGTATAAAGTTATATTTCAATTTGAATATTCAATCCCAAACACCATCTAGAATCAGTTTATGTTTGTGTTTATAAACAATTCATGTTAAACAATTTTAATAGCATCCTACATGGTTTTCGTTTGTATGTTAATGTATCTGTGTTTGTATGCAGTTAACTAAATATGTTATGTGTTTGGAAGTATAATCGTGTTTAATAGCAACCTATTTTGTTGAAGTGACTCAATATATTTTTGTGTTTGTTTACGTTTATAAACATTTCTATAACTGTTTCTAACTTTTATCTTAACAGGGCAATTTATGCATAAAATTTACTATGTAAACAATAATTTTTTGTCAAAACATGATTGTGTATTATATTATGTATATATTAGTCAACAACAATATACTTTCACTATTGTGTGTCTTATTGTGTGTTACTTAACAACAATGTACCTTATTGTGTTCTTTTAACTTATTTTGCGATTAAAGGGGAAATTTGTCAATTATGGAATAAGTATCATTTTAATTATTGTAGGGTCAACTATATGTTAAAAATAAACTTGCATCTATATATGATACCATCCAAACAAATGATTGTGTTAAATCTGAAAGGTATTTTTAGAGTTTCAAATTGCATTGCTTCTTCAGCCATATACCCAATCATCAGATTTTATATATATATATATATATATATATATATATATATATATATATATATATATATATCTATATATATATATATATATATATCAACTTACAAAAAATTTATTGCATAGTATGTATCAACTTATAGTTTCCAAGTATACCTCTAATACAAATAAAAGTAGGTTGATATAAGACAATTTTGGATGTATTGGGTAATTTATTGTATGTTGGATTACAATCCTATTACAACACTACGTTATCAAACTATAATACTCGAATAATATTATAACAAAGTACGATGTTGTAAAAAATTATGAATTAAATAGGATGTCAATTTCACACACCATTGCATTACTTTAAATTCGATAATGTAGCAATTCTGAACTTCAATGAAGCATGTGTGGGTTTCTACCTATTCAAGAGATGCCTCTTCTATCCACATACACATTTCCGAAGACTCTTTTATCTGTAATAATCACAATAATTCTATACTATACATAAAAATTAAATAATATTACAATTAATTGCTTCTAGCCCATGATTGTAATAAATACGCGAAAAAGTATTTTTACTATCATTTTCAAGTGCAATTTACTATTTTTCTAAGATTAAGGAAAAATGATACATGGACCGTTTATGTAATTAATTTAATCGGATACTATTCATGCAAACTTATATTAAGAGCTATAAGTAAGATGCTATATGACAGATAAAATGAAAGTTTATTGATATTTATTAAATTAATGTGATTGGAATAAATGCACATAATAGCAATTTACTTTCATTTTTATGTTCAGTTTAGCATATTTCCTGAAATAAGATAATTAAATGTATAATTCCTATAATCATATATTTCAATCTCCATGTTTTTTTTTGAAAATCCAAAAAAGTAATTCAAAACTTATACGGTTAGTTTTTGTTTAATATATAACCTTAAAAAATGCAAAAAATAATTTGTTCTTCAAAAAAAATTACCTAACATGTATTGCATTCTTCACCCTTCAGACTTCAGGCCCAATCTGTTCAACAATTTGCCAACCCCCTTACATGTTTTTCAATTGACTATACAAATTTCAATTTCAAAATTTTATTAATTTGGTATTTTTGTCTATAATAAAGAAATCACAATATACTAAATTACTAATATGATATTATTTAATAAAATTTTGCAATGTTAAAAAAATCTTATTAATTTAATAAAATTTTCTAAATCAATTACCTATGGTTTTCACGGGTTGTAACATAGTACAAATATATACTAAGCTCTCAAATACTTGCCATCCCATTTATTGCAACATACTTCAAGTGTTTTCACAAAAAAAGGAATCATATGAAATATCTTTTAAGCAATGGTGAAATACATATATTATATTTATATAAGATATGAATATTTAATTACCTTATCCATATGTAAGATGTTGTTTGTTTTTTCGAAGTGAAAACATCTGAAGTCTGCGGACCACATTTGCAACCCTCTGTAGAAGAAGAGGTAGACCAAATCGCTGCAGCCTATAATAAGAAGTATGTTTTTTTAAAGTGTGTAGGTTGCTGCAATAAACTAAAATTAACTATATAGTAGTTAGAAATAAATCTAAATCAAAATTTTATTTAGTTTAATCAATATGCAAATCAAATATAAATATCATTGTGATGATATGCTTTTCAAAGACATGTATATAAAATAATTAAACATAATATTTGCTAAATAACAATAAATAAAACTGTCAATTTAACGAAAATCATGTCCATTTATATTAAATTTTCGAAGACGATGGTTATTTTTCCGGTTAGCTTCAATATATTTTATTAATTTTAGTGATTAACTTTATAATTTATTAATATTTGATTATAAAAAATGTAATACAAAAAAATATTTTTATGAAATTTACCAAACCGTTTTTAAATTATTTCAAATTATGTAAAATATACTCGAATTATTTATAATATCCTTCATAATATTATTAAAATAATAAACATGTTGAACAAAATTAAAACAATAATATAACTTAAAGTAAAGTGAAAAGTGGTTTGAAGAAGATGGTCCAGTGTTGTGCCGCGCAGCACACCCGCAACAGTTTTTAAGTCAGAAGTCTTCTAAAAAACAAACAACTGTGAAAGGCCAAGTGATGCACGTGTGCTGCACAACGCAACCATAAATGAGTTTTTTGAAAAAACAAACAACCCCTAAGTCATGAAAGGCAAGCACACAATCCTTTAATTTAAATGGTTTATAAACCGAATAACATTGAATTTTCAATCCCTGAAACAAAGTGAATGCATCTTGACTTTTCAGAATCAAAAGTAGATAATCCATTGCTAACAAATTTTAATCTTTTATCCGTTGGTTTAAGTGTAAATCTTGCAATGAAAATAGCTTAAAACTGCCATTGATGGCAAGAATCTTAGACAATTGTAATCCAACAAGCTTAGCTCCACAAAAAACCAACTCAAAAACTCAAATGATGAAGATAATGGTTACATTTCTTATTGGGCAACTCTAATGAGAATTCTACCAACCGAAATATGTGAAATTTAGTATATAATAGTTATAATCATAGAAGCATTACTGATTACACATACATATCTGCCCTTAGATAACATAGAATAATAAGATCCCATATTATTGCTATAATAGTGACACTACATTAGAGCTTGGAAAATCCAAAAAGTGATGATATTCTAGTTCTTGTTGGACCTATAATTTTCCTTGATAAATTTAATTCATAACAAACTAAAGAACAATTACACAACATAAAGAGAGATTAGATTTGATTCAAAGAGACGCTAACCTTGGAATTTACTTGAGCCTAACTTTATAAAAATCGATTGTGGAGCAGAGCCTGAATCAGATCAATAATCCAAAATTAAAGAACAAATCACATATCGATTGAAAGTAGGAGAGACATACCAGATGATGTCGGGAAGGAGGATGAGGCGACATCAATGAGTATGGCGATGTTAGATGAGGACGACGAAGGTGCTGACTAGCAGAGGCAAGAGTGGTGTTGATATATGTTTGCCTTTTTCCTTTGCATATATCGGATGTAGGCAAGGAGAACGGACGCGTGAGAAGAAGAAGAGCAAATAAGGGAACAAGGCTTCTCTGTTTCAATCAACGAGTTTTTTTGGTGGCCGAGTAAGACCTTCAGGACCGAGTAAGATGTAGCATATGATGGTATCAAACGCAATGACCGGAACGAGTCAGCCAAAAAGGTCTAACAGGACTGGTTCAACAAGAAATCAAACAAGGCTTTGCTCAAACTCGGTCAAAAGATCAAAATTATTTGAAATGATTTTTTAAAAGACTAGCTTATGATCTACTTTATTGGTCTAATCTAACATTATATTGCAATAAACTCAAAAAATAAACTAAACTGTATAAAACAAATGCAACTTAAAAAAAAAGTCAAATATGCAAGTTTGATCAAAATGATTCAAGGTATCTTCCCCACGAGTTTTTGAGATATTTACAATGTTTTTAACTTTTAGATTTTAAAAAAAGTAACTTGAATTAAAAAATCTTCAATTCACTTTGAACTTTTAATTTTTATTTAAATAATTTTTTTTAATACAAAATTACTTCAAATAGATTTCAACTTTTTATTTTATATAATTTTAAATTTTTAAAAAATTCATAGTTATTTTTGTCCATTACACTAAATATTGAAACTTGATTAATATTAGGAAAGATATTACATTTACTTATTGTTTCTAAAAATAACAGATGGGACCCAATTCGGATACATTTACACCAGCAGTAATCCGATTCACACGTCCAAGATCAATGTACACCGGCTCCACAGCCACTTCGCAACTCTCTTCACACGCCCAAACCCCAAAACACAGGTCAAAATATCAAAGCCTCATCACGACCAACCGAATACCGATCTCTCCCGGTCGTCGTCGTCGTCTCCGGTGATCTAAATCGTCATCCTATAATCAGAACACCTCAAAACGGAGAGATCTCAACGCCGATAGAGATCGAGGTTTTTCTTTAATCCTATCGGCAACTATGAACGAGAAGGCAGGTGTTTCCAAGGAGCTCAATGCTAGGCACAGAAAGGTCTCGTCTTCTTCCTCTTCTGTAACTTGATCTGTATTTATTTTTGCACTTATTAGGTTAACTGATATGTCATGGTATCATCTAGTATACTCGATTTAACATTTAGCAGCTGATCTATTTCAATAAACATTGAATACGTGTGATCGAAAACTATTGAATTTGTATGAAATCTGTTCCGTTTGATTATTCGATTATTGTTTGCGACTTTCATAAAAATATTTTGTCTAGTAATTTGGGAGATCTGTATCCTATATTCCTCTTCAAGCATACTTTTACATCATATATTGCGTAAATAAAAAGATCAGCATGTTTAGTAAATTGATTCATATTATGTGCAAGGGATCCCAGATGACAAACTACTCTAAAACAAAAAAGTGTAAACTTTTTGTGATGGATGAGCACTAGAACATGACTGAGAAGGGGATATAGACCTATAGTTACACGGATGATGGTTATAACTCCAAAGCTTAGGGAAATTTACTTGCAGTCATATATAAATTTTTAGTACTTACATTTAGAATTTTATCAGAAGTCACTTTATAACAACGAATCATGGGCTTCAACTGACTTTGAGCATCAATAAATGTAATAAGAGATTAAGAGAACAGAAAGGGTGAGTCAAGAGGCAGCCTTTAGTCTATTAAGTTCCAAGGCAAGTTGATGTAAACATGAATCTTACAACTGCCTGCAACAATTTTATTTCCTGTAATGTGCTGATCCCCCAATTTGGCATTATTTCTTTTAGTTAATATTTGTTCAAGGTGGACTTTCACTTGCAAAGAAGTGTAATAAGCTGTCTTTAATCAAAAGAAAGGGGCTGTTATGAATTAGATGGACTCCATTACTGTTTAAATGCTAATGCTACCAAATATGTGATCATTATATAATGATGATATAAACTATAGAAGAAAAACCATCCTTTATTTGATTTGGTCATCAAGATTGAGCAATGTAGGGTTAAAAATTAAAACTTTGAAACTGTTGTGTGCATATAGAATGAAACTTGTGAAGTGAAAACAATACAATTCCCTTATTTTTCACATTATGGTGCACTGAAAAAACTTTATGCTGCATATCAACTGATTTTGTGTGATCTTTGTTTCCAGATACTGGAAGGGCTTCTTAAATTGCCTGAGAATAGGGAGTGTGCTGATTGCAAAACCAAGTATGCACTTCATTTATGACATTCATTAATCAAATTGGATTATTGTTTAGTTATTATCTATATTAACTATTAAAACCAATTTTTTTTTCATGACAGAGGTCCTAGATGGGCTAGTGTGAACTTAGGCATCTTTATATGCATGCAATGTTCTGGAATCCATAGAAGCCTTGGTGTACACATATCAAAGGTAATAATTTAATTACTTCATCTCCTATATTATTAATCCATACAAGTCCCTATCATCTGAAGGTCTTAAAAGAATAGATAAAAAAACGGAGTTAAAATTTATTATGCTTCACAACATGTGAGAAAAATATTTGTAAAATTAATACCTTGGATTCTTGGAATTTGACTGAATCCCTTTGCCACTAGCCACCTTGTATATGGAGAGAAAAATAATTAGAACAAGAAACCGAAAAACACAGATCTGCCTACATTGTTTTATATTGAGTTTTTGGAGCTATTTAGTTAAAAAAAAAAAAACTACATAAAAAACTGCCCTTGATGCAGTGAGTACAAGCTTCTGATGCATGGTACTATTGTGTCACATTTTACATGAATGATTCATGTTTTGTTATAAAGACATTCCCCTTAAGACAAATAGCTATTAAAATTTAAAACATATAGGTTAACTATACCTTTTAATAGACACTATAATGTCTTCTTTCATTTATTTATTTATGCACCTCTCTCTCTCTCTCTCTCTCTCTCTCTCTCTCTCCAGGTGCGATCAGCTACACTGGACACATGGCTACCTGAGCAGGTTGCATTTATCCAATGTAAGACAACGGATCTTCCTCATGTTTATAAAAAAATATAAATAAATAATTATTGCAATTTATAAAGATTATGTTTTGTGATACATTTTCTCTTTCTTCTCAGCCATGGGAAACGAGAAGTCGAATAGTTATTGGGAAGCACAACTGCCACCAAATTATGATAGAGTTGGCATTGAAAATTTCATTCGCGCAAAGTACGTACCCTTTTTAATACTTTTAAAAAAAAAAAATTTATTCCCTTCTTCATTATCTATGTTTCAAAGTATTAAAAAAAATGTGGTGGCTATTTTTTTAAGATATGAAGACAAAAGATGGGTTGCTAAAGAAGGAATAGAAATCCCAACTCTTGTAGTGCAAGAAGAGAAAGCTCCACCACCTTTGCAAAGTGAAAGAAAGAGCTATCAAACACCTGTTGCAAGAGTCAACCTTCGTGTCCCCCCAAAAGGACCTGAACCTGTATCTGTATCTGTATGTCATCATCATCATCATCATCATCTGCATATTCATTATGTATTAAGTTTGTTCATTTATTTCAACTTAACAGGTGATCCCAATTCCAAAAGCTGAGTCATCAGCAGTTTCTTCTACTGAATCAGAAGCTGTCTCTCCTCCAAAACATGATTTTGCTACTGATCTTTTCGACATGCTTTCAATGGACGAGAAAGTTCCAGAAGCTTCTACAGACGATCTATGGGCAGGCTTTCAATGTAACTCTACTTACTCCTTCCTTTTATTACTTACTAAGATTAAATTCTACACATAATTTATATTGTGATATTGATTTACAGCTGCTGCTGCTGCTGTTCAAGTAGCACCAATCACAACAGACGTTTCAAAACCTGTTGATAACATTAACAACCAAACAAACTCAAATCCCATTCCTACTTCTGGAATTGAAGATCTGTTCAAAGACTCACCTCCTCTCTCACAACCACAATCACAGAAGCCTCAGAAGGATGTTAAAAATGATATTATGAGTCTCTTTGAAAAGAGTAACAATAACAACACAACATCACCATATGCTCTTCACCAACAGCAACTTGCTATGTTAGCTCAGCAGCAGTACCTACTCATGGCTGCTGCTGCTAAATCAGGTGGTTTGCCAAATCTTACTGGGAACGGGGGGCAAGGGCAACAACGTAATTTACTCCCCAATCAAAACTGGGCAAATGTCGGCTATCAGTTTCCCGGAATGCATGCTACTGCTACACCACAACCTGGAAAAGATGAACTAGAGAAATATTTACAGCAGGTATATAAATAATAAGTATTTATATTTTCTATACAATTAATATGGTTAGACTTTAATTGGTGAAATAAATAATAGATGGGAAACATGGGACTTGGAGCACCAATTCCAGCTGGCAATTCATTTCAGCTTCCAACATCATCCAGGTATGATTCTAATTTATATCTTACTTTTTTTTTTATGTATTAATTGGCATAAATGATAACACTATTATTATTATTATTATTATTATTATTATTTGTTATAGTATATACGGGATGGGATTGAATGCAACTACCAATGGGGTGACGCCACCTGGCAGCAATGGGGGATCTGGTGGATCTAAACCATCACAAGCAACTGCATCGGGTTCACAGTCTGCAAAAGACTATGATTTCTCCTCCTTAACTCAAGGGATGTTCTCCAAACCATGATCTTTTTTTAATTCACCCTTCTTATATTGTGTAACATAATTCACAAAAAAAAAAAAAAAAAATCTATTTTTCCTGTATCGGGGATTGTAAACTATTTGTAGAGGATGCAATTTTCAGCTTGTTTCTTATTTTTGTTTCTCTCATTATTTCCTGTTTTTAAAATTTCAATGTATGTGAATGAATTTCTAAACTTGATGCTCTTTCTTGCATTGATTAGTATTTTTTTTTTTTTACTTGCGTTTGCGTGTTTGATAATCTATTTATTTACATTGACAATTCCTTTGAGAAGCATCATCTTCAAAGTCTTCAAATAATCTACCACTTGTGATCAAAATGTTGAAGACTTAACATAGGAAACTCTTGCGTATAGAGAAAATTTAGTGACTATTTTAAAATCATTGGTATTAAAAACTGCTTAAAGAAATATGGAAATGGTGTGTTGTGAATCCCGAGAGTAATAAAAATTCATGAGAAAAGTTACACGTAGCTTTGAAGTTTAAATTGACTTTTGACTTTTGATGGTTGGATTAAACCCGTTAAGCATGTGACTCATTATGGTAGGTTTGCGGGTGACGTTGGTCAATTAATTTTTATGAGGTTGCATATATACATTTTGTTTATAAAATCTTGGTCAACCTATTTGTGAATCTATTACACATGTCAAGAGGCTACTTCATGTTTTTTAAATGACATTAATTCACGTTAATATACAAAAAAAGATTATAATCTAAACATGCAAGATGTATCAATACCTGAATCATCATCATCATCATGTTTAAGGATAACTTTATGTTGATCAATAACAACCTTTTTATTATATCAATTTCATATTCTCCATTTCTTCATCACTGTCTTCCTTCCTTCAAGTATAATGTTACTTTTTCTTTTAATGTATATATATATATATATATATATATATATATATATATATATATATATATATCTATATATATATATATATATATATATATATAGTATTGAGTTTTGAGTTTGACTTTTGTAAGTCAGAATAAGCTGTGTTAATTATTTACAAGCAAGCTAGAAACTCTCGGGAGTAAAAGTAGGCGTGAAAAATGGAAGTGTCAAATATGCACATGTGTGTACCTTTGGGAGAACCCACATGCGATGCCAGTTGCCACATATACCGACTGTTTTAACTTTGTTGAGTGCTTAAACGTATTAGAAAAATTAAATATCCTTAATTCTTTATACTTTTTCTTCATACCCGTTTTAGATTATGAGAAATATAATAAAAATTTATTAATTTTATTAAATATGACAAATATCACAATCTTAAATAGATAGGAAGAAAAAATAGGATGATATTTGATTTCTCAAACTTATTATTATCAAAATTTATTTATTATAAAAACGGATATCTAGTTTGAATATAATGATTATGTTTATGTAAATAAATTTACGTTGTAAAAAACTTCAGTTTTTAATGCAATTGAAACTCCCCATTCACAGTTTCCATAATTTTTAAAACATACTTTATATGTCAAGTGCATTTTCAAATTTACAAATCCTTAGCAACTTAACGACCAACAAATAAATATTGTCATGTCTTTATCTGTTGGAAATTTTGTCATTGTATCATTGTAGTGTAATGGAATTTACAAGATTAACAATAGAATTCAAGTCTTGATTTTAAACAAGTTAGGAGGTATAGAGTGCATGCTTGTATGGAACAAGTTTGATCTCAGTTCGACCAAATGACAGGGGTCAAGTGGGTTGCAGCCATTTGCGGATATAATGAGCATCTAATGCTAATTGATCAATTTTCTTTGATTATAAGAAGAATTCATATTCATAGAAATCCATAGTTCGTGATTTCTCGTTAGTGTCTTCATATGAAATTGTTCTTTGAAGTATTATCTCATAATCTGGTTTTCATGATGCCAAACATAATGTAAAAATATCAGATTCGAAAAGTGTTCTACATGATTCCATAAACAATCATATTCTTCTCAAACCCCGACATTATCTATGTTTCACAAATCAGGAAAACAGCAGAATGAAAATCAATCCCCCTTCGATCTAAATTAGTCTTAGTAGCAAGTCTATTCAATTCAATTTTCCAAGCAAAAAAATTCACCTTAATCAGTACAATTTCGTTCTATCTAATCCGACAACTAATCAACTACAATAACCAAAGCACGATCAAGGAATGGAGGACTACACGAGTCTATATGTGTTTCACAAATCCAGAAAACTTTATTTTGTTAGAAAGATAACCGTACTACTTGTAATGAAGTTTTCAAAACAAAACTTACCCTTGTTACATTTTATAATATAAAAATAAGAAAGTTTGCTTATGTCTATGATAATGACTTATCGGTAGGGAACCATATCAACACTTGGCTCCTCACTAATCTAATCTTAAATCCTCAATCACTTAGATCTAGTTAATTAATTAAGAAACAAACCAACTTTACTAAATTAATTATATTTAACGCCACCTTCCACGTTATGTATTAAATATGCACTATTTCCCTTGTAACCTTTTCGACCAAATTAAACACCAAAATTAATAAATTGAAAACATGTCTAATCACACACACAAACAAAATATAAGATTCCGTGTTGTTGCTACTCTTGTCATTCTCCCAAAAACAATAAGCTCTCGAGTACTCTTAAGATCAGGAAAAACTCATACGCATATTTATTGTTAGGACGTTGTTATTAAGACACCCTTTAGGCTATCCGGAGTGGAGGGACCTCCATGCGTGAAATGCTTACGTGGATGCTCTCTCCACGAGTGAACACCGCCCCTGGCTTCAGTGGGTTGGTGGTGGCGTGGCTCCCAGGACGGACGAAGACGCGTACATTGATTGGTCCTTTAATTTGGACCGTTGGCTGGGTTACTAAATAAATAAAAAAAAACTTTTTTCCTTTAATTTCCTTTCTCTATCTATATATGCTTCCACTTTTACACAATTTTTTCAAAACAAACATACAAATTCTCTCAAATCAAACATACAAATTCAACAAAAAAATGGATAGCGGTTCTGATGATGATTTGGTGTTGCACACACTATTGTCTGCGGCACAAGACGTGATTCGTCAGAGAGGCGAAACTTCACACCGCGAGAAGAAACATAGAAAATATATCAATCGGGATCGAGAGGCGGCACATGAACTTTTGGTACGTGATTATTTTGCCCCTGATAGTCTTTATGACCTATCGAAATTCGAAGAACGTTTTCGTATTAGTAGACATTTATTTTTACGTATAGCTTCAGATTTGGAACGTAATTATGAGTTTTTCAAATTACGATTGGATGCTAGAGGTAAACGTGGTTTTACCACAATACAAAAATGTACGACCGCTCTTAGACAATTGGGATATGGTATAACCGCAGACGCATCAGATGAGTATCTGAAAATGTCTGAGAGGACGGGTCGAGATTGTACATATCTTTTCTGTGAGTATGTTATAGAGCTTTACCGTGACATATACTTGCGACATCCGACTAAAAGTGATGTCGAACAGTTGTATGCCGCGCATGAAGCTAAACATGGTTTTCCAGGGATACTTGGTAGTATTGATTGTACACATTGGGAGTGGGCAAATTGTCCCAATGCGTGGCGTGGTCAATTCACGCGAGGAGATCATGGGGTCCCGATTGTTATACTGGAGGCGGTTGTGTCAAACGACCTATGGTTTTGGCATGCATTCTTTGGAGAGAGCCTCCACGTAGTATTTGATTTGATTGGTAGTATTTGATTTGTTAGGTTTTATGTGTGTTTTAGTAATTTTAGGTTTTAAATTTCTATGTTTTTAATTAATGAAATGTTTTTTTTTTGTGTTTTCAAAAAATTTATTTATCTTATAAATTATGTTTTTTATTTCATATAGTGTTACAAAAAATAAAAAAAGTTACCCATTTTATAAATTATGTTATTTATTTAACATAATGTTAAAAAAATAAAAAAAATAAAAAAGTGAATGTTGTTAGTGGTGACCATTTCCTATGTGGAGTGGGTTGGTGGTGAAGGTGACGTGGCACAGATGTGGCACCACTTTTCCGGTGAGTTGGTGGTGACCACTCCCCATAGCCTTAGACATCCCATAAAATGGGGTGTCTTTTTAGCCAACCCTTTAAAAGCAAATCGGTAAAAAACATAGATAATAAATTTGGAAAAGGAGTATAAACATTTATAAAACAAATATTATATCAGTAGACATCTGGCCTGAGTTTATTAAAAACATATCTCCATCTTTACAAGATACAAATAAGTAAATATTTTTTAAAAATAAATTATGTTATTAAGTTCGAACAAATATGAGATATTTTGATAAATGCGACAGCCCAACTAGCTGTCACAAACATGCAAAAGACCGATGAAATTTCAACGACTATTTGTTATTTTATCAACTCATCCATCTTATTGTAATAAATAGTTTAGTTTTATATTACAAGTACTACACCTAAATTGCATACAAGAATCTTGTAAATATTATAGGTTGTTTTTATATTCGTTACATTAAATATAATGGTCCCATCGTCATGAGCAACATTCAGGGTATCAAGGTTTTTGTAATATATATATATATATATATATATATATATATATATATATATATATATATATATATATATATATATATATATTTTACAGAGAGAGAGATTCAAATGTTTCCTACAAGCATTGTATGTATATATGAACCAATGAGAATTTGGTAATAATTTAATCATTAAATTTAAGAATAAAAGTAGTTTAGTCATTTTACCTTTATAAACCAAAAATAAATCTTGTATATTTGGAAAATCATTAAACGAATATCATAGATATCCTTTTTAAATCATTGCTTCGTCTCACTAACCCTAATCCCCTGCTCCTTTCTTTTTTCGATCGGCAGGCACAAGAGCAACCCAATTTCTTCTTCCTCCCTCTCCGCCATTGGCGACTTCTGCTTCCTTCATGTCACTGTCAAATGATGTTTACTTGTAAGTACAAGGCTTTAATTATCCAAATCAAAGCTTGATCAAAGTAACAACTCAAGTTATGGGCAGAGAGAAAAAATGGTGCTGAAAGTATATGTTGA